TTTTTGTTCCTGTTTTTGGAACAACCAACCACAAGAGTGCAAAACAGGTCCAGTGGCGGTGTGAAAGCCTGTCCTCAACGGACCAAACAATTTCCCCCTTTGTATTTTAAAAGCACGAGAGACTCTGTCTCAGTACTCCCCCAGATAGAGACTCTTATCTGTCTACAGGAGGCCTTAATCCCTGTCTTAGGCAAGCTCTCTATACCAGGACAATTGCCCATTGTAGGGATCCCTCACGACTTCTGCAGAATCTGCAGCCAGACTTGGGCACTTCCTGATTACGGGAAGACAGCCCGAGCAACACTTGTTTTTTTTTTTTTTTAAAGTAATTTTATTAAATTATGAAAGTTTCCATTTCCGCCCCTCTTCCCAACACCCTCCCACTCCCCCCACTACCTCTCCTCCTCCCTCTTCATCCCTTAGGGCAGTCAGGGTTTCCTGCCCTGTGGGAAGTTCAAGTTCCTCCCCCCTCCCTCCAGGTCCAGGAAGGTGAGTATCCAAACAGACTGGATCCCAAAAATCCAGTATATGCAGAGGAAACAAGTCCCAGTGTCATAGTCAATGGCTTTTCAGAAAGACTTCGGGCCAGCCACATTCAGTGAATCCGGCCAAATTCCGAGAATCTGGTTAGATCACGTCCTCGTTCAGTCCCAGTCCAACTGGCCTTGGTAAACTCTCATTAGATCCCTTCCCTTGTATCAGTGGGTGATAGCATCCCTCGCAGTCGTGATTTCCTTTTTCATGTTCTTCCTCCTTCTGCTCCTCATTTGGACCTTGGGGGGCTCAGTCCGGTACTCCAATGTGGGTCTCCATCTGTATCGCCATCCATCGTCGGATGAAGGTTCCCTCTGATCTTGCCTTCCTTGCTCACGTTCTCTTTCCTTCTGCTCCTCATTTGGACCTTGGGGGGCTCAGTCCTGTGCTCCAATGTGGGTCTTCGTCTGTATCGCCGTCCTTCGCCAGATGAAGGATCTATGGTGATAAGCAAAATATTCATCAGTATGGTTATGGGCCAAGGCCGGTTCAGGCACCCTCTCCTCTGTCCAGAGAACAATCTGGGGATCTCTCCTTGTACCTGGGATCCCATATATAATCAAGTCTCCTGTAAACCCTAAAATGACTCCCTTAGTTGAAATATATTCTTCCCTGATCCCATATTCATCCTTCTTCCCTCCCCCCATCCCAGGCCACCTAGCTTTACCCATTTCTCCCCTACTCCCTTCTCTCTAACCCTCTCCCCTTCCAACAACCCTCCCACCCCACCCCACCCCCGTGCACCCGAGGTTACCTGGGACTCTTGTCTATTTCCTACCTCCTGGCGGATAGCTAAATAATCTTCATCAGGTTCATCTTCTTATTTAGCTTCTCTAGGATCATGAATAATAGGCTCAAAGACCTTTAATTATGGTTAGAATCCACTTATGAGTGAATACATACCGTGTTCCTCTTTTTGGGTCTGGCTTACCTCACTCAGTAAAGCGTTTTCTATTTCCATCCATTTGCATGCAAAATTCAAGATGTCATTGTTTTTTACCGCTGAGTAAAACTCTAATGTGTATATGTTCCACACCTTTTTTTAAACATTCAGGGTCACCTAGGTTGTTTCCAGGTTCTGGCTATTACAAATAGTGCTGCTATGAACATAGTAGAACAAATGCTTTTGTAGTATGTTAGGGAATCTCTAGGGTATATTTCCAAGAGTGGAATTGCTGGGTCCTGAGGGAGGTTGACTCCCAGTTTCCTGAGAAACCGCCACACTGATTTCCACAGTGGCTGTACAAGTTTGCATTCCCACCAACAATGGATGAGTGTTCCCCTCACCCCACATCCTCTCCAGCATAGGCTATCGTTGGTGTTTTTGACTTTAGCTATTCTGACAGGTGTAAGATGGTATCTCAAAGTGGTTTTGATTTGCATTTCCCTGATCGCTAAGGAGGTTGAGCATGACCTTAAGTGTCTTCTGGC